AAAAATTTTTATGACCAGATTGAGTCCTTATCTCACCTGACTGGATAAAGAACCGATACGGAACCAAAGAGACTGTCTCTCTCCGGCTTTGTTAACCATCGGAAGAAGAGATGTCATGCAGAAAACCCGTTATCTTCGTAATATATATAAAAAAATAATACCATTATAATCAGATGACTTAAAAGTTATAGTGTTGGGTGTAAAGGGGCTAGTGCGCCCCCTTGCGTCGGGAGGTGGCGGTGTTACATGAGATGGCTTCATCACTACTCACAAATGGAAATGACTTGTCAAAAATGTATTTAATTAAGTGCACAAAGCAGCTCTTTCTGTGATACTAAAGCAAAAAACCCTTTAACAGAAAAGGTATGCTTGAACTCCTGTTAAAAAACACTTCGTAGATCAGATAAATACCCAACGGCAGAAACACATTTAATAGAATGTTCATATTCTAAATGAGCAGTTTTAAAATGGACAGGGTGATACACTTTACTGTATTAAACACAGGCCACTCTGAAATACAGCCATCTACTGGAGGCTGAATTCCAGTAATGTGATTTTTCTCCACCATGCATCACCAAAGGAGGGCAGGCCGTCCTCCTCATCCCAGCTCTGGTTCACATGGGAAGCACATCCGCTCTCTCTCACGCCACGTCCACTGGATTTCTGTTCACGCAGATCTGGAACACAGCCCCCCTCCTCATGCCATGGCTGGGATGAAGTACTGCAGGGACGCGTTCTCGTGTAGCCAGACGAAGTGAACCATCTTTTTGTCCACAATATCTGCGGGACAGTTTAGGAAATGGGGGTAAAGGACAACAAAAGTGTTCTATTAAGCCAGCGCCTCACACACATCACTGATTAAAATTATGTGGGAAGTCCAGCTAGATTATAAGGTACATGGAGAAAAGTATTGGGACACCAGGCCATTACACCCACAGGAACATTTATGACATCACATTCTAAATCCATAGGCATCAGTATGGAGCTGGTCCCCCTTTGCCGCTATAACAGCTGCCACTCTTTTGGGAAGACTTTCCACAAGATTCTGGAGTGTGTCTCTGGGAATTTTTGCCCATTCATCCAGAAGGACATTTGTGAGATCAGGCAGGGGGCCTGGGGCCTATTCCAAGAAGCAGAGAGGGCAAAATGCAAAGGAAAAGAAGCCATTTGTTTGAAATGATCAGCATACTCGGGGGTGGTGCAGTGGTTAGCACTGTGGCCAGACACCTCTGGGACTGGGGTGGCACTGCGGCCACACGCCTCTGGGACTGGGGTGGCACTGCGGCCACACGCCTCTGGGACTGGGGTGGCACTGTGGTGCAGTGGTTAGCACTGTCGCCTCACACCTCTGGGACTGGGGTTTGAGTCTCTGCCCCAGACTCTATATGTGTGGAGTTTGCATGTTCTCCCTGTGTCATCATGGGGTTTCCTTCGAGTTCTCTGGTTTCCCCCCCCCAGTCCAAAAACATGTTGAGGATGATTGGAGTTACCAAATTGGCCATAGGTGTGAGTGACTGGTGTGTGAGTGACTGGTGTGTGAGTGACTGGTGTGTGAGTGACTGGTGTGTGAGAGACTGGAATTTTCAGATTGGCAGAAGATGGATGGATGGGTAGATCAGCTTACTACACATGGCCTTGCTGGGGTTGACCTGCTGGCTGGATAGAAACTGCTGCAGCTTCTTGATGTCCACACGTGCTTGGGCCATGGTCTCCAGGTCCTGACTGGCACCTTGGGACCCACCGTCACCTAAGGAGATGGGGACAGTATGAGCTGATTAGGACGCCCTCCATGTGACAAGGCCACACATACGTGCGTGAAAACAAACCAACGGAAATGAGCCAGGGGGCTGTTCCACAAAGCAGGATTTCCTAGTTAACTGGGTTAACTTAAGCCAAAAGTCATGACTGTCCAACAGGAATGCTCCTTACTTAAACTCCTATTGGACAGTCAAGACTTCTATCATGTTAACCCAGCTAAGTAAGAAATCCTGCTTCGAGGAACACCTCCCCCCCAGTGACTGAAACCGGCTGGCGTTCTCTGCCGTGACCCATTTTTAAGGATCTCGACTCACCACAGGGAGGGTTTCCCAGATCCCTGAAGTGAGTGGAGACGGACACCAAGTCTGTCTCAATCTTCAGATTCATCTGCCCACTTCGATTTGCTTCCAGTACCTATATAAGGGACAACACACTACAATCGAATAGGGTGTACCACATCTCAGACGTATAATGCTGCTGCCTAAATATGATGGGCTATTCACTTATGCTGTTGTAGCTGATTAAGTATTTTATTTTTATCATGCATGTATTACACAGTCGTCATGGAATCCTTAAGTGGTCTTTAAGTAGCGGTACTGTACAAACAATGCTTAAGTCTAAACAGCACTCACCAGAAAGTTTGACAGGTTCTTCATCCTATCTATCACATTCTTCATTGTCTTCAGAGGAGGAAGGTATATACTGACCTTTTCAAATGAGTAATCATAAAAATGTTTGTGTTATCCCAATACAACTGGCGTTAGGGCAAAACGGAAAGGTTATCAACCAAAGCAAGTGTGAGAGTGTCGCTCACGTCGAAGTCCGGCACAGTGGGTTCCCTGAAGTCATGCCAGAGTTTCCTGGGAATGACGTCCACGGGAATGTCGTGTGTGACGACTCGACTAACGCTGGACAGAGACGGCTTTGGGAAGAAAGGACCATTTCATGACGCCAGAAGCTGTGTGCCAGAATTCTGTTGCCCTGGAAACTGTGTGCTCTCAATGCCAGTGAACAAAACTCAAAAGCAACGTCATCTGATGCCAAATGACATAAACAGAACCAGGACCAATACAGAGGCGGCTGCTTTTGTTAAGCAGGAAATTAATTCACCATTTAAGCATTGTCAGATTACTTATCAGATCAGTTACTAAGCAAGACCATTCACATTTGTAATTTAGACAGCAAAAGCATATCTATGAAACGCCCAGTGCTTGACACTGACAATAGCACACAATATTAGAGAAAATGAGACACTTCTGCCCTTCTTTTAGCGAGACGATCCAGGGCGAACACTAGAGGCGCTATTCACCGTACTGCTGATCCGACCTGCTTGCGGGACGCAGTCAGTCTGCTGTTCTTACCAACTCAGCGGCCAGTGTCAGGCAAGGGCAATGTTTTTTTGTCAGCTTCGCTTTCAGGGACTTGGCATTCTGGGCTGTTCTGAGAGCACGGGAAAGGTTCTCCGGAACAAGCTCGAGATATATTTCGTTTGCATCCGACGCCACACCCTCCATTTGGAATTCATCAAAAAAGTTGCCCTGCGGAGTTATTTAAAGGAACCACTCATTGCCCAAACCACCATTAAACGCTGGAAGATTAAAACGGTGGATTATGTGCAAAGAGCACTGCGATAAGATTACCTGGTCTAACTCACACCACATGCTGACGCCCCCGTTGGCTACCTTGTCAGAAAGCATGAAGTAGAGGTTGTCAGCAGTGAGCCGCAAGGTGCAGGTTTTAGTCAGTTTGGAGATGGTATTAACGACACCTGTGGTGGAGCAAACAACGTCTCATTCAGCAACGTGTATCGTTATATCTGCATAGGCAGAACAGCCAGCAAACTACCAATTTGCGCAATAATCCAGCAAAACCTTTAAACAAAATACCGTAATATTTCTAAAAGTTTTGTTTACCACCAATAACCGCTTACTTTCTCTAACGAGTTATGCACATTTCAGGCATACCGTTTAGTTGTAAAGTTACTAATAAATCATTACAAATCCGTCCATAAAATCTATTCGCTCCATTAATAATGAAATGTCCTTGCAGTTGAGAAAAACGAATCCTTGTATGATGCAGACAGACGGAAAGTCGCCGTCTGTCAAAAAATGTAACAAGTAGATGATAAATAAATAATACTCACGTGTAAAACTATTGAGACAGCCCACATCCAGTATTTTAGCCCGAAACCTCATTTTTAGGTATACAACAGCTTATTACAATACAAATATTCGGCACACATAAACATACGTTTGTGTGGTGGCGCCACTGGTACGCCGCTTTTAGGATCCCCCGGAAACAGCGGTCTGGAGATTTGTACCGGGCGCTTTGAAACGCTGTAATTTCCTCATCATTGCCACAAGGGGGCGCCTTCATTCAATTTAAGATATAAAAGGCCCAATACTCTGATAAAGTGTAAAATCAATGTAATACAATTAATCACATGACTTGTGGACACATGTACGCATATACCCATTATCCTAAACTTGCTGCAGGAAACAGTGGCTTCCAAAAATATTTAGATGTGTTGATGCGTGCCATTCTCCCAGTTTTCATCTTTATGTTTATCACGTAATTGAATATCCATATTGAGGATTTATGAGATAAATTATTTCTTTCGGATGTTCGTGTAACGTAACAGAAACAATGAATAAATATAGATCTATCTGAATGTATTCAGAGTAGAAAGTGCATTTTGGAAACAATGCTTCCACAATAATTTATGACAAATACTTAACGGTCTCCACCACTTCTGTGTATTAACCTCTTATGATGTTTACATGTTTTTCTTGTCAGATTTGCTATGAACACACGTCGTCTATAGGCTACATCACAGGTCAATCCCGAAAAGGTATCACGATCTTAAGCTGAGCTGAGAGCTGCAAAACGTGACAGAATCTTAGTTTGGGATCGAACTATCAGCGTTGTGTTTCTAATACGGAAACTATATTAAAATAACTAGGCAATTAACACCTGTTTAATACCATCATTTGATTTTTCTGCTGGGACTTTTTATGAAATTTTGAATTATACACTGGCCTACATTTAACAAATCGCATATAAATTTCAGAGGTGGAAAGTATTCACAAAGTACAAATCCAAACCTAAAGAGTCACATTCACAGAATACGCAACTTGTTGTTGGAAACAAAATCTTGGTCGAGATTTGTACTTTCTGAACCTGATATTTTTGTCGTATGATATACGAATATTGTGCAAACGAAGTTGTTGCATGTGGTGTTATTTTTTTTAAAAAAAATTGGCAAATAAAAAGATATTAATAAATCATGAGGCTTTCCTTCGGCTTAAGAGCAGCATGTCAATACATGGCGTACTTAACGGGACGTATAGCTCAGATTCCACAGAAAACAGAAACTGAGTCTTTGCAGTCTTCGTTTTGTTTCCTTGCCGGTGTGATTTTCTAGCTTCCTTGTTCAGCCTCCTTGTTCGGGTTGGGGGGCCATACGGCTCTTTCGTCGCCTGCTGGAGGCAGTAGGTGGACTGGGAGCCGAACCCAGCATCTCACTCAGTCCTTTCGTTGTATCGAGGTAACGGTCGGATGAGACATTTCATTGCTGAACATGGTTCTAATGGAACTTTAAATGACTTCGGACAAGTGACACATATGAGAAAACAGACTGGGCTGTGAATCAGGCAGCACGGATGGTCTTTTCGCAGCTTGTGGAATAAATCATGCTGCGCCGCAGGCAGCTATTGCCGAGCTGTATTCCATGCGTCCTGCTGCTGTCCGATCACCGCTGAAGTCGCTATGGATAAAAATGCGCCACTCATTACAGACCTTTTCGTTTGCTGGCTTTTCGGTAAGTCAACTTTTTAATAGTATTTAAAATCATTTTAGAAACGAATAGCATCCTTCGAATCCTCAGGTGCAAGTAAATGTAACTTATAACTCCGTCTTAAATAAATCCATAGGATACAAATAAAAATGAGAAATCTCTTATAGAAGAGCTGCATTGGGTATAAAATACAATACAGTGTTTTAAGATTATCACTAGGTGAAGAATTTAAAGAAACGTGAAAGTGTTTCCAGATTTTTAAGTTGAAGCCGTTAGATTACGTCGTGGCATTCAGCACAGAGGGTAGATATCCCCTTTAATAATAATAATAATAGTAACAATAATAACAATAACATTAATTCATCTTCTTCCTATAATAATGATAAAATAATAATAATTCATCTTTTTATAATAGTAATAATGATATATTATTATTATTATTATTATTATTATTATTAACAAGGAGACCAAGCTAAGCGAAGAGGCGCAGATACCTTTCACGACCCTGAACACACACGCTGTTCCTTACCACAGTCATACTATTAAACAACTTTCCGTTGGATATTCTGGTGGATAACGGTTCCATATTTAATAGTTAATAGAATCTAACAGATATTACTTAATAGTGATGCAGATTGTTACTGACTGTCACCAGCATATGAGTGATGTTTCTACGGCTGGACTTCGTGCGGGAGGTTAGGTGCTTTACTGAATCCAATTAGATGGAATCGGCAACCTTCAGGTTATAGAAAGAGACAGAAGGGAGTCACGTGGGAAATCAGCCAGACAGACATGTGTACATCTTATATGGGCTATGAAGCTCCGGATACAGCTCCCAAAGAGCTATCTTACTCCGCAGGTCATACTCAGTATCAGCTAACGCCTGGCATTTTCACACGAATGATCGTGTGTGGTAGCTGGGTGGTGGAGTGCTCAGTCGCTCCACCAATACAATGCTGTCCCTGCTCTGTGTGTGTGGAGTTTGCATGTCCTCTCTGACTTGAGTGTGTTTCCTCTGGGGACCCTGTTTTTCACACACATGCAGATAGAGGAACTCGTATCGCAGTCCCTGCCCTGTGTCCTGTGATGGACTGGCATCCCGTCCAGGGTGTCCCCTGCCCTGTGCCCTGTGATGGACTGGCATCCCGTCCAGGGTGTCCCTGCCTTATGTCCTATGACAAGGGCAAGGCAATTCAAAGTCCTTAAACTGCCTCCCTCTGCCTCCAGGAAATGTCCTTTGGAAATCACGTGGAATACACATGTTTAGGCCTTCGATGTGGGTAAAATTAGTCATGAAGTTCTGGTGGTTTAGAGAATTCAGTGTGTGGTTCACGTCTTCCACTGTCTGATGTTGGTGTCGTAGAACTAAACTCTGATGGTACAGCTAAGTCAGCTGTCCAGATTTACTTTTACTGTGCAATATCTGAGGTAAGCTGAGCCCAAGAATGTTATTGCTGGTAATGATGCTCCACTGTTATCTGTATATGACAATAAATTTGAAACTTGAACTTGGTAGGTGGAGAAGGGCATCCATGGGAAACCGTGTCAGAATTTGTAAGTGGATAAACCAGAAGATAAAACAGCAATGCAGTGCTGCCACTGTCGCATATCGCAATACAAATGCGAAGTACAGTATGTGACGTGAAGACGTCGCAAGAAATGTGCGACAAAACAGCGCCCTCTGTTCACAACTGTCGGTTTCTGCATCAAATAGCATCGTACCCAGCAAATGTACTTCTTGAATGTAAATTTACTGTATTGCATTTGCTGTCCGCAAAACACCATTTACTTGCCTGAACTTGGTAGTGCATAAAAGATATTGAAAATGAAACTGGTTTGATGGGCTACATTTGAATGATTCAAGCGGCGTGAGGTTCGTCCTTCTGGGCCAGTGACTACCAACATCTAGCAGTAGAAGACCCAGTGGTAGAATGGCACTTACAGAAGGCTAGTATTTATACGGCTGCTGCGGTGTTAGTTCCAGAGATACCAGAGGTATCTCACTGCATTATTACATGGGAGCATTTATGGATGGATAGCTATACTTTTTGATTCCATGTGCAAAAGTCAAGGCGAACATTACAGTCAAGACGAAGTGCAAGGCAATGAACGCAGGTCAAGCAGACGACACGAAACTGAACAAGCAGGAAGCTGTAAATAAGTGGAGTGCATAGTCAGAGAAGAGCAGGCAGCTGGAATGTCCACGGAACGAAACAGTCAACCTGTGCCTTTGTGGGGAGAGCTGCAGCTGCAGGTTTCTGAAAGTCTGTTCACTGTCGCCCTCTGGTGGTCAAGGCCATGAGTTTCTGAGGATGTGACGCAGGTCAGGTAGTCTGTGAGTAAGGAAGCCATGGGGCCATCAAGCTGCACTGGCCAGAGCGTCTTCCCCAGTCGGACAGGCAATGGAGAGTATGGTCCTAACTGGTACCAGTGCTTGTTTTCCATTCCATACCCTGAGCTATGTAAGGTACAGGGAATACAGAGGACAGGAGTCCATTCGGCTCACTTTGTTGTAGTTATTCGGGTTGCCAAAATTGTATCTAGCACAGTTGTCAGTTCATCTCACCACATGATTACTGAAAAGCATGATTTCCTTTCATATGCAGGAATGCTGAAGAGACATTAGAGAGAAGCTGGTTGCAAACTAGTAAACCACAGTAAAGTTGTCAAGAGGATTGACCTGTTCAGCAGTGGGGCAGGTGGGGCAGGTGGGGCAGGCACCTAAAATCCAACTGAGGCAACAAGCACATGTGCGAGTATAAATGCTTCTTGGCGTTTTCGCTTACAGTGATTATGCTGTGAGCTTGTGGCCTGTGACCAGCACTGCTGTCTCACTACTCTTTGGAGAAGCTTCCGGTCACAGGAGAACCATCCCCCCTACCATGCAGTACTGCAGGCCATTCAGGATGCTGGTCTATGGCACAGCAGTAGAGGTTTGTCAGGGTGCCAAAGGAGCAGAATGATCTGTACAGCATTTGCTTTAAGAACAGGGTTATTCAAATCACGATCCTCGAGGTCCGAGCCCTGCTGGTTTTCCAGCCTTTCTTTACCTGTCAGTCAGGTGTGAAGCCTCTGACCAATCAGAATCAGTAATTATTGAACAACTACCTGAGGGAACTGAAAACACGGCCTGGATTTGGAATCGAGGTCCAGAGTTGAAGAACCCTGTTTTAGAAGGTACCTCACGTGTCCAGTAACAGACCTCGATTAAAGGTGACAGGGCAGCATCATTGGGCTCAGCCCAGCTTAAGGTTCCAAACTGGTTTGCTAGAACCTTTATTTATGTCAGAACGTGGATGAGATCTTTGACAAAGTCACTTATAACTAACACGGCTTTAGCTTCTGAAAGGTGGCCAGATCCTCCTCACTGCCCCTTCTTTGACAGTAAGGAAGAGTTCAAGAACCTTCAAAGAGACTGGGAATGTCTTGCTACACTTTGCTTAAATTACGGCTCTTCGTGGATTTCACCAAAAGGCTGAAGCACCTGATGTTATGCCTTGCAGGAATCGTAGGTTTCTTTGTATTTCCATGCATCCTGATGCCTGGAATTTCTGAATTTAATGTAATGAGCAAAGCAGCTGAACTTGCATGTCCTCAAACTCCATGCCAGCCTCCTAATTTGAAGATCTCATCCAGAGACAGAAGCATGGAACCTACACCTGTATAAGGTTTTGAAAAATAATTATTCGTCTGTTGTTCTACATTCATGAATTAATGAATTAATTAATCAAACAAGTAATTATGGCTGTTTAATGACACTGATGAGGGAAAGAGTCGATATGTATGTGTGATTTGACTCTTTGTTTTTTCAGTGAGTGCCATGACGACGAGTGGATGGGCAGGTAAGCCACACGAAACCACGTCTTCTTTGCCATGTGGAAGGGAACACTGTCTGATTTTCTTCATATATTATGAAAATTCTAAAAAATAATTATTTAAAAACGATTTTTTGTGTTTGAGGACAGTTTCTACAGCACGAATGGAAATGTCAGCATCTAATGAGCTTCTGACAGTATGTTGCTGCTGATGCTGTTGAGATGTTGCTGTTGTCTAGCAGCAGAAAACATCAACAAGCAAAAAGAGCTGCTGTCCTCTCTGGACGTGAGAAGCCGACCAGTGCTGTGCAATGAGACGGCTCTCCTCCTGGAGATGCAATGGTGTGGAGACTGGTTCAAGCGGGAGATGGAGCTCATTCCTCAGAGGAACTGGTGCAACCTGTCGTATTTCATCTGGTAAGAAAGAACTATGTGTGTGTGTGTGTGTGTGGATTAAGTTTATATTACATTGTGGGGACCAAATGTCCCCCACAATTTAATAGAACCCTGTTATTTTGACATTGTGGGGACCAGTTTCCTGGTTTCCTACAAATAAACGACTGCCTCCGCTACTGAGTCAGCCAATAGAAGGCTTGCAGGGGGGACATATTACAGTGACATCACACCATTCATGAAAAAAGGACTACAAATAAATGCCCGCCTCAGCTACTGAGACAGCCAATAGAGGGCCTGCATGGGTGATATATTACAGTGACATCATACCTTTCATGAAAAAAGGACTACAAATAAATGCCCGCCTCAGCTACTGAGACAGCCAATAGAGGGCCTGCATGGGTGATATATTACAGTGACATCATATCTTTCATGAAAAAAGGACTACAAATAAATGTGCACCTCAGCCAATAGAGGGCCAGCATGGGTGATATATTACAGTGACATCATACCTTTCATCGAAGGCTTTATACAACATATAATAGCTAATACTGATGTCTAGCAATCCAGTTACCAATCAATGTCCACTAATAGATGCATATTTTGTATGTATTATGGGTCAAAGACTAAAGTCATCTCAAAACACAATGGATTCTAAAAGGAAGCCAAACTGGGCAGAAACTGAGTCGGTCCTCTTGGCACAGCTGGTGCTTAAATGGAAGGAAGGAGTGCAATGGAAATGAGGCCAAGCTGTTACAATGAAAGACTAAGGGAAGCTTGGCAGCCTGATGCAAGCTCCATACCTGCCGTGTTTCCTCAGACAAGGCGCTCAGCTGAGGACCTTTCTGTGCCAGAATGTGCTCGGTCGCCATCTTGGTGCACATAGTGCTGCCATCTTGGTGCACATAGTGCTGCCATCTTGGTGCACATAGTGCTGCCATCTTGGTGCACATAGTGCTGCCATCTTGCAGCTCCTACCTGCTTTAGGACACCTCTCCAGCTCTCTTAAATTATTTAGGAGCTGAGACTTAATCTTAGCACTTAAGATCTTTTATGCGTGCCACTTAGTCTGAATTCTGAGAGTAAAAGCGAAATCACGTCATTCTTAGAATTTTGACACACTTAAGAGTGAAATTTTACTGTGAGAAGTTGTATGCACACCGGCCTGGTCTTTATAATGACTGTAATTTTATTCCACATGACGTGCTAAGTGGTATCTTATTCGGATTTGAATTCAAGCAAGTCTCCTCTGAATCTCCAGAAAACATCTTCTCGTCTATGGTGTCTCACAGCCAGATCTCAGTCCTGCCTTTGGCGGCTTTATATGGAGGAAAACCCTGTAATGGTACTTTAATGTACAGTGACTGATGGGAACATAATAGCAGTGGGTCCTGCTGCCTTTAACATGCTAATTCAGATCCTCTCTCCATTCTCACCGCGCCGAAGGATACAAGGCTCTCTTTGTAGCGCGACTCACCCGGGCAGCACTGACACAACCTCAGCTCTGGGTTTTACAAAAAATATGAAGTAACAAGCTGCAGTGAACGTGACTGGAAAACAGGTTTTGGATCATGGTGAATTTCTGAAATTGAGCTCTGATTGGAAAACAGGCTAATGTGGCTATTTGTCAAAGAGAAACTGCATTTGAAATGTATCTGTCCTTGTTTCCTCCATAAGCTACAGAGAGAGGTGATGCCAGTCTGTCAGAGGACACACAAAGCGGGCACTTCAGAGATGCCAGTCTGTCACAAGGGGCACACAAAGCGGGCACTTCAGAGATGCCAGTCTGTCAGAGGACACACAAAGCGGGCACTTCAGAGATGCCAGTCTGTCACAAAACATACACAGTGGGCAGTTCAGAGATGCCAGTCTGTCACAAGGGGCACACACAAAGCGGGCACTTCAGAGATGCCAGTCTGTCAGAGGACACACAAAGCAGGCACTTCAGAGATTCCAGTCTGTCAGTGGACACACAAAGCGTATTTAATGGATCAGCCCTGTGACTGATCACCCGCTAACCTGTAGCGTATGTAACGGATCAGCCCTGTGACTGATCACCCGCTAACNTGTAGCGTATGTAACGGATCAGCCCTGTGACTGATCACCCGCTAACCTGTAGCCTGTTAGGCACCCAGCCACATCATTACAGCTCAATAATAAAGACACTTGAGTAAAGGTTGCTTCCTGCCTTATTTAAAGTCTGTTTTAGAGACATAAGGAAACCAAAAAGGTATGTTAGCATAGCTCATGTACAGTATGCACTACACCAGGAGTCAGCAACCTTTTTAAAGCAAAGAGCCATTTTATCCAAAATGTTTGACACAAGATTTACAAAGAGCCCCAATGGATAGAGAAGAGGGTTTGAGATACGATTTTTTATGTGATATCTGTATACATGCATTTTACATAAAAACAAAACATAAAGCACTTACAAAAATGTACAATTTCGGGGCGGGGAGGGGGGCTCTCAGTTTTAAATCACTCAGTTCTGTAGTACGATGATCTGGGAAGGCGTGGTGACGATTTACTATGAAAAGTATACGAAAGAATTAGGAATCCCAATAAACTTTGAAGCCTACATCCAATCTCGGACGCTAAAGAACACTCCGGAAAGCATGCCATTTGACCGGAGACGTACTCTCGTCGTACAGAATGACTTTTATGAAGATGTAAATTATGCAGTTAAGACATCACAGAAGCGCGTGACGGACCGCCTCATTCACATATAGCTAAAGAAATCTCTAAATGAAAAATAATAATATTAACCCATTAATAAATTATTTATATTTACGAAAGTATTATCATAATATGTTGACATGAAAATGTGAACGCGCCTATCGTCCTGAGAAGAGCCTCAGCCTCGTGCTTAAAGAGCCGCTCGTGACTCACGAGCTGCAGGTTACCGACCCTGTACTACACAAACTCACTGGAGAGTTAGACAACACTGAAGACAGACCTGAATGAAAGCACTTCTGATGGATCCATCTGCACCTGGAAGGGCTCACTTACCATACGGTCACCCACACAATCCCATTGAAGGAACTGTGATGCTGTTAAACACTTTATTCCAGTCAAAGGAAGCAAAGCTTATGGTGAATCCTAAACAGTGTGTTGGCATCATTCCAAAGAAATACAGTCAGTGATTCGAATAATAGTTTTGTGTGAATCCAGAGAAAGACACGTATCTGTCACGGAGAAAATGAAAAAACAACGTTGAAGTGTTTGTATGCAGAGAAACTGGGTTTTCTTTCTGCTGTTGAGGGGATTTTACCTGGAGTGGATGGACACGCATTCACTGACCGCCATTCGCTGCCACTTCCATCTCACTGGTTTAATGTCACGGGGGAGAGATTTAGAAAATTACACAAATAACATTCACTTGCCAGGGACTAAATTAAAAATGTATTGTGGGGTTGAAAGGGTTCAAATAAGCTACAGACATTGTCACTGAATTAAATCTCCACCTAAGGTGAGCTGAAATTTCCCTTGATGAGCCCAAAGACAGCTTTACATGATAGACCTGCCACAGCCTAAAATGCTGAAATTTCCCTTGATCCTTAAAGACAGCTTTACATGATAGACCTGCCACAGCTTAAAATGCTGAAATTTCCCTTGATCCCGAGAGAGCTTTACATGATAGACCTGCCACAGCCTAAAATGCTGAAATTTCCCTTGATCCTGAAAGACAGCTTTACATGATAGACCTGCCACAGCCTAAATGGTTTAAACCATGAGTTATTATTAAGAGTATACTGTCACAATTCTTTTCTTAATATTTTTGTGTTTTCATAATGTTCTTTTGTACTTCAGGGCCACCATACTAGTTGCTTTCAAGAGAGAAATTGGAATGGAAATGATATTAATTCTAAGTTGTAAACCATACATGTAAGATATCTGAACAAGCTTCACTGCAGACAGAGACATTGTGTCCAGATGGAAATACCTAACAGTACATGCCTGTCACAGTGGATGGAGATGTTAAATCTGCAAGCATCATATAAACTGGTTGAGATCACAGAATTATATGATAATGAAGCGCACTGTTTGCTGTGCATAATTGGCACTAATGAAACATTGATAAGGCTGCTTATGGTAATGAGGTGAGGTGGGACTAATCAGGCCCTAATGGTTCAAATAAAGGGCACTTTGGGGGCTTGTTAATGTCAGACACAGAAGAGTCAAAAAGAAACTGTAGGGAAGAGTATGAGCTTACAGAGACATTACAGGGAACATTGAATAGCACTAATAGAAAAGATTCCATGAATTCCTCTTTGAGTAAGATACAGTTTTTCAGTTAAGAGAGCATCTCGCTTATGGATCTTATGAATGGATGCAAGGGCATTATTTCTGCTCTGATCTCCATAATGATACTTCTAGTCACTCTGGGTTGACACCACCCCCCCCCCCCTCCTCCTACAGGAAGTACAACCACTTTTCCAACTGCAGTGAGGACAAGGCTGTCAGCACAGGCTGCTACTGGCCCAACCCCCTGGTGGAGAACTACATCATCCACGTCCACAGGCTCTTCTTCTCCAACTGCACGCTGAGCCACGTGGTCCTGGTGGACCCTCCGGACTACATGCTCACCATGCTCATCTTTGTGCCAGTCTTCCTCACGCTGGCCATGGTTGCACTGGTGGTGTGGTGCAGCAAGCGTGGTGACTTCGCCGCCTAGTGCTCTCTCTGCTATCACTACGGTTAACGCTAATGTCCCTCCGCTAGCACTATCGCTAACGTCCCACCGCTATCCCTATCGCTAATGGAAATGTCCCTCCGCTATCCCAATCACTAACGCTAATGTCCCTCCGCTAGCACTTTCACTAATGCTAACTTCCCCTACGCCGCCTAGTGCTCTCTCTGATATCACTATGGTTAACGCTAATATCCCTCCGCTATCCCTATCACTAATACTAATGTCCCTCCGCTAACATCCCTCCGCTAGCACTTTCACTAATGCTAATGTCCCTCCGCTATCCCTATCGCTAATGCTAATGTCCCTCGCTATCCATATCGCTAATGCTAATATCCCTCCGCTATCCCTATCACTAATACTAATGTCCCTCCGCTAACGTCCCTCCGCTAGCACTTTCACTAATGCTAACATCCCCTACTGTCGCTATTGCGGAGCCACAGACTGGCCACCAGGAAACCAGAACTCTTACCCAAGATGTCATAGACCTTTTGCTGTATCCCATCACCCTCAGAGAAGAGGAAGGAAATACAAAAACTGATACCATTATAAACAAGGCGATACGTGATCGCTTGCTTCAAAGTCATGCTAATCGCTAATCGCTTACGTTTTTTTCAATGCTTCCATGGTCAGTGGCTTGCTTTTCCTATACACATAATAAGCCGGTGTTTCTTTAAGTGTACAATGCTGTCTCCTGTTGCTGAGAAACCAGCCCTTCCTTTGTTTCACACCTAAAGTCTATGTGGATGGTCTTTCCCAGCTGGCCGTTCACGTGATTCGGACCACATGTTCTGAATTCGCCAACATAATTAATCAAGCAGATGATGTTTGGGAAGGTTTTATGCCTCCTCTCTGCATGTCCTGTAAGATCTACACTGATCTGTAATGTCATTTAATTCCACGTTTGGTCACCATAGAGGGAGGAGTTAATATGAATGTACACTGACCTCTGTCAAGTAGAGCAAACACTGAACTAGCATAGCATCACGCTGAAGCCCAATTCTCATATTTGGTATTAAGTGAAACGTGTATTATATAGATATTTAATGTGCTATTAAATGAATATGAATTATGTTCATCATAGACTGGTTGAGGTTTCTGACTCCAATCATACCCAGCAATTACCTGCATTTCCGTTGCAACAGTTTATTCGGAACAAAATATGTTGCATGAACAGTTTGACAACACATAACAAATTAATATGAAATCCAGGTAAACTACACAATAATGAAAAACTAATCTTGGCATTTTTTTTTAAAAGATACTGTGCAAAAAAATCCTCATGTATAGCTGTCAGAACAAGCTCTTGTAAAAAAATATAAATAAAAATTTTCTGAGAAAAAATACTAAGAGAATGAACATTTGTCTCTCTACAAATAACTAATATTCAGTCAAAAGAACAAAAACAAAACAGTTTACGTGTATTTTTCACTCCAGGAGGAATGACAAAGACAAATAAGCGACACTGGGGGAAGGAGGGAGCCGTCACTGCGGGAGAGGAACCTGATACAGAATAATCAGCAGGAACATTTAATGCAAAACACGTATTTCAGCAGGAAAGGGAAAATGTAAGGAAGACTGGAGACTGGACTGTGGACAGGCTACACACACGTGGGGCTCAGCTCTCGGAGTTCGGCTGCTGCTGGACACGAGAGAAAATGACTGGAGTGTTTAGAACTTTCAGGAACAAAGGAGGAGCTTTACTTGCATGAGAACACCTGTCACTGGATTTTCCCCCAACCCAGAACACCCACTGCCNCCCCCCCCCCAACCCCTATGGATGGTACATCTATGGCACGGTACAAAAAAAACAAAACCACTGTTTGAAGACACATCTTGACAGAGGTTTAAGGCTGGTTTCTTATGGACGTGAAGATGATCTACAGGAAGGATATAAGATTCTTTCCTTGGGCAGGCAAAGAATCGGAGGAAGCGCACGGACCGCGACTGCCAAGAAGCGAACGGAGCTCTCCACTCGCGTTTCCTTGTTTTTCATCAATGCGGCCGAAATACTAACAGCATAACCGGCGCACACATCATCCGCCACGTCCCGTTTGCTTCCTGTTTCAGAAACGGAGGCATGTAAAAAAACAGCATCTGCTTTTGTGTGCTCAGAAACCACGTCAAGCGCTTGGAGCTCTTCAGCTAAAATAATAACTATTAATAGAAGTAGCTTCTGGAACTTTCAGATTAAGGACTCGAGCATCAAGTCAAAGTTACAGTCTTAGTCCATTACAGATGTAAATCTGGCTCCTAACTCTTTATATACAACAGGCTGCCGGGGGACAGTATTGATCTGGGATGTACATTTTCAGCCATCTATTATTAATGCAAATTGAACATATTCTGTATAACAGAACTCCATGATTTCAGACTCTCACGCAACAAATCTTACAGCAAATCTATATTATTCCATTTTAAACCTGAAATTACCTACGTCAAAGTCTTTGGGGTTGTTTTCAAAACCTACAGACTATTTACAAGGTAGGAAAACTGCTACATACATATAAACGTGCGTGCAGACTTGCATCCAGCTAGCTGACCGAAGGTGGCAGCCCTGAATCATACCTGCTGCTATCAGCCTCACCAGCACATGGATCACTGAGAACGGCGTCATGACATGCGCAAATGCCGGCCGAGCTTCATCCTTTCAGCGCCTCCTCCTCATCACTTGCTGAAGGCCTCAGGCAGAGTCACCACGCATCATGCCCAGCAAAACTGTTTCAGCAGAGACGAGTACAGCGACTGGATTCCTTTATGTTGGGCCTGTTTGCATGTGGGAAAAACAAAGTAATAATATTCTCGACACACATTAAAACATGATATTTCATCCTGGCTCCTGTTCCCAACTGTGACGAAAGTAAAGGGAAGAAGAAAAATGAGAATGATTAGGGTGAGGAGAGAAGCCGCGTCGGGGAGGAGACTGTGGGCCAGGGCAGGGTTTGCAAACCAATTCAATTGAAAGGACCTGGATTTCACTTAAGCTAAGAGTTCTTGCATGTGCCAGTAATGTCAATGTGAAACGGCTGGATGAGTCTTTCAATCAAGGAAATAAACCAGTAAAAGTACAAGAAGAGCTGAACTATTTAGCTGAGCACAGGAGCCTTTCAGCTTTGAAAGTAGTTTGTAAAACCTGAAGTAGCTCAAAGTGTCCCCCCTAAAATGGATTATCCGGCCACCCTAAGTGACCTGCACTTTCCTAAATACAGTTCACTCCAATATGCAATTTCCATGCATATTGACTTTAAACAAATCTGTAGCTGCATAGTAAATTCAATGCTATTTAAGCAAATTAATTAAAAACAGATATACAATGTCTATTGTCTCCAACCATATGCATTTACTTTCTGTTTTGGGAAACAGTTTCCACATGTACAGTATCCTACAACAGACAGGGTGGCTTGGGGTTAGCCGTTAGCTTGGGGTTAGCCGTTAGCTTGGGGTGAATCCCCATCCTTCTTATCCAGTAAAGGACTGCAGAGTGCTGGAGCCTCTCCCAAGCAGCACAGGCCAGAGGCTGGATTGGAACAGCGCACCCTGGAGGCAGGAGGCCAGTGTGTCACCCAAACCCACGTGACGTTTATGCTGGAAGGCTTACAGCTTCCACACATCCAGGGACAGTAATGTAGGAGTCTGACTTGATCTTGAACTGACATCCTTTCCCAAATAACAAAACAATAAAAAGGAAAATAAATAAGCAAATCGAGCTCTTTATGAGGCGTCGCCAAGCAACCGAAACCAGTAGGAAAATAAGAAAAAAAAAGTTTTTGTTAACTACTCCACCGGGTTATTTATACAAAGCCATTATGTCTCTCCTACTTCTCAGAATATTTGCTTTCAAGATAATATTCAAACAAAGTACTCTGAAGTTGAAAAAAACAAAAGGAAAGCACTTCCTAGCCTCAGAGAGGCTCCACATGGAAGCTAAAGCGATGAATCATCAGGCCTTTAGATGACAGTCGGCATGCAGCCTGGCGGGTCTGTGTCTATCCCGACCCAAAGGGGCTCTGACAGACAGGCTTTTGGACCATGATTTACCCACTGATGGTAAAATCACAGGGCGATTCGTTTTTCAAGGTGATGTTGTGGATAGAACATCATCCTTCTATCCATCCGTCTGTCCATCCATCTGTCTGTCTGTCTGCTCATCCATCCATCCGTCTGTCCATCCATCTGTCTGTCTGTCTGCTCATCCATCCATCCGTCTGTCCATCCATCTGTCTGTCTGTCTGCTCGTCCATCCATCCATCCATCCATCCGTCAGGATGGAAAACATTTTTGAGAAGCTTTCAAGGGGCCTCAGCAATGTTTGCTGAAAACATCTTGACAACCTTCCACAACCCTACAATGTCCATCCATCCATCTCCCAGAACCCTGCATCTGCTGCAGGTTGCAGGGGAGACTTTGTACAGGATGCCTCTCCTCTCCAGTGTAGGATTTGTCCCTGTAATACAGCTGAAAGAACTTCACCCCCTTCCCATCCATCATGTAATAGTCTGATGCTTACAGCCCCTCCCTGATTGACTTCACAGTTCCCTACTGGCCCAACATGTCTCCATTTCCAGTACATGATTCCTCCTGCCATCCCTGGATTCCTAGTGGCGTCCCTGGATTCCTCGTGGCGCCCCTGAATTCCTCGTGGCGTCCCTGGATTTATCCTGCCATCCCTGGATTCCTCAAGAAGGAAATGTTGGAATAACAAGTTTTTATGGAGGTATATTACAGTAATAAGAAGGTCTGCAGTCAATGTGCTGTTAAAATTAACTACCCGGAGATGCACTTTTTATTAACCTCGCTAGGGCCTGCAGTGTTGCATTTGTATAGAGCCGTTGTTGTTCTGAAAGATGTAAGAGGAGATATGAAAAAGTAATTCAGAAATAAAATCTCATACAAAACACTGCCATGAGATTAGCGAGCGTGCCTTTATTAAACTTATGCCTTTATTAAACTTATGCCTTTATTAAACTTATGCCTTTATTAAATCTGATTGCTGCCAGGGTTCTGTTGGCTAAGCTAAGGCACACGGTGGCTCTTTGTGAAATTTTGTGAGAAGTGGGATTGAATCCTCTCGCACTCTCACCTGGCAAAACCTATAAAATATCCTCATGAAACCAGGCAGCGGATTCAAAAGGACGAATATTCTCTCTGTAAGTATAAAAGACCCAGGATAAGGGAGGAGCTGATTTGCAAAGGACATCATTGTTCCAGGCCATTGATGTTTGATGGTGTCACGGCTTGTCCATAAATCCACCCCACATTTTGTAATATAATCACGCACCATTTAGCACTGATGCTAATGGCACTGAACTCACGCAGTTTGATCATTATAGTGATGTGATATTTATTTTACAACATATAGGCATTGAAGAGGACCTTTTGCACAATAATGGATACATAATGTACAATAGCATCAATGCCTACATTAAAGTTTCGCTCATTCCAACCTTCTCCTGATACACTTTAAACACTTTAAACATGATCAAATGACTTTAAAAGCTCATTTTTCTTTTCTTTTTTTCTAACTTTGCATCTCCTTTTGTCCTTTACACTCAGGAGCTATTGAAATATACATTATTTCTCCACTTAGGGTATAGTAGCTTATTTTCTTGGTGGAATCTCAAAACTACCCTTTGTGAACTTAAGCACAGTTCTTGACAGTACATGTAAATACTTTTCTCTTCCATCTGCAGTTCATCTATCACAGAAACCAGTGAGGCCTTCGACCTGCAGGCTTGTACATTTAGCGGCAGGACACCCATCCATACTGGCAAATGGCCACTCGGGTTTTCATGACAGAGCATTGTAAAGGTACCTGGGCTGGCAGTGGCTGGAATGCTCTGCTTTGCAGAATGGGGGGGGGGGGGGGGGGGGGGGGGGGGGACGGGCAGGTTTCTCAGAGCAGGTGATGTACAGTATTCTCCCAGAGGGCTGGTAAGCTGAGCACAGCCTGAAAACTCACACTCTAGAATAATAAAAAAGAGGCATCCTGGATGGATGGATGGATGGATGGATGGACAGGCAGACAGACAGACAGATAGATCAAAGGATTAGATAGATGGATGAGGATGTCGTATCCACAGATGGATGGAAAGACGGATGGATGGATGGATGAACAGATGGACGGACAGATGGATGGATGAAAGAATGGATGGATGATGGATGGATGAATAGATCAAAAGATGGATGGATGGATAGAAGGATGATGATGTCCTATCAACAACATCACCTTGAAAAACGAATTGCTCTGTGATTTTACCATCAGTGGGTAAATCGTGGTCCAAAAGCCTGTCTGTCAGAGCCCCTTTGGGTCAGGACAGACACAGAC